CCCCAAAACCCCAAAACCCCAAAACCCCAAAACCCCAAAACCCCAAAACCCCAATTTATACACTTTTCATTGAAATTTATCAGATTTCAAATCGAATTTAGAAGATTTTACAACATTTCGCAAGGAATTTTGGAAATAGAGAAGGCATCATTTTGTGAGGAGGAAGGAGAACTGAAGATTTTGGACAAAAAATTCCATGATTTAGAGAATATGAGCACATTTAGCTCTAATGAGAAGATTTAGGTATTTTATAGAAGAGATTTTATCAATGAACAGTTACCAAACTTCTCTTCTGATAGATCTTTCAACAAATATTTCATGGTCTACATCAATCCCTTGGCTCTTGGGATATCTTCAGGGTTGGTGGTATCATGGCTTGCCTTTGTCTCTGTCTCTTGAGTATCATCTGGTAGTTGCTGCAGAGTTGATGCCTTCTTCTTGGCAGATTTAAGCCTCTTAGCAGATTTAGGTCTAGCAGCTTTCTCAGTGACAGGCTTCTCTTGGAGAATAGAATCACTAAAATTAATCAAATTCTCTATCGGAACGCTTGCAGTCTGTTCTTCCTCATTTTGGTTAAGAATCATATTAATAGCAGTAGAGACTCTCTCTGAAACCTGGCCTTGGTAATCCTCAGTGGTTCTTTCAGGCATATCAAGATCAAGATCTAGGATGTTCTCGAACTTGAACCTAGGATTAACGTCTCCAAGACCCTTAGCAATTCTACTGTACTCAGAAGTAGGTCTTTTCATACCGACTGCTGATACAGGTCTGTTTCCTCCTTTCTTCTTCTGGAACCTCTTTGGTGGTTTCAAGACCCAGTCGTTTAGCTCTTCATTCCACTTGGAATTATCTGTAACCTTCTTCACCTCGTCATCAGGGATGAAGTTCTCGATAATTGAAGTCTTTAACTTGAGTTGAGTATCCAGCTCAAAAATAGTGTCGTACATGTCTTGCCTATCTCGTAAGAACTCTTCTTGTTGTTCCTGAATTTCATTTTGAACTCCTTGGTATTTCTGCCAGACCTTTTGAAGCTTTCCCGTTACATAATCCAATTCCTCCTGCAAATTGCCAAACTTCTTATTAAACTTCAACAATTCATCATCAGCCATTTGCTTCTTATCCTCCAGTCGTTCTCTCCTCTTATTCTCTTTCTCCAATATTTTCCTAGTGTGCTTAAGCTCTTTCTCTTGTTTCTTAGCTTCCTTCATTACTTCAGAACCGACCAGGACCTTCTCTTCCATTTTCTTAAGCTTCTTGATAAGTTCTTGCTGCTTAGTCTTGCTCTTCTCTTTTTCTTCTTCCTGTTGGCGGAGTTTGTCCAGGACTTGTTTCTTTTCGTCATCGGCCATGTTCATTTCTTGCTCGATCCGTTGGCGTTCTTCGTCGGCTTTCTTCTTGATTTGCTCTTTTTCGATGATGAGCTTTTCTTCAAGTTCTTTTAGCTTCTTTTCGTCCTTCTTTTTGATAACCTTTTCAACGATTTGTTGGCCGCCCAAGGCTGCCATTGTGACGCCTGGGTCTTTACCATCCTGGATCATTTCGAGTTGGGCACGGAGTTTATGGATCTCATCCTGGAATTCTCTCAGCATTGCATCTTTGGGATCTTCATTGATTCTTGGCTTGTTTTTGATATTTTTAGCACGAGAAGCCCATCTCAAGGTGTTAATAGTCTCATCAGTGTTATAATCAGCTGGACCGATATTGGCAATCATGACAGTCTTTGTGTTTCCTCCTAGAGAGTCTTGGAGAAGTCTGGTCAACTGAGAGTCTCTGTATGGTACGTAAGAAGATTTTGTATCGGTTAAGGCACTGATTACTTGACATAAGCAGGTTAGTGACAGATTGATCTTAATGGCTTCCTCCAACCTCTGACCAGAAGCATCTGTTTTTGACTGTCTTTCACTTCCTGCAAGATCGACCATGTTAAGTTTTCCAACTCTAATATGATCTTTTCCATCAGGACCTAGCTCGGAGCACTCAAGTGTAAGCGTAAATACAGAGTGAGATCTTGATGATCTAGCATTCATCTTAGTTTCACCCATAGATTTGTTCTTCCTTCCAGTATTTTGAACAGCTTGCATTTCTTGATAATTCTTACAAATGAAAGAGGACAAATCTTTCACATAAACTCCAGAATCTGGCTTCTCATGCATGATTAGTTTATTTTTAGGGTTTGGGGACAAAAGATCTCTAATATTTTCCTTATAAATCTCCAAATAACTAGCTCTGACCAAAAACTGGGCATCTTTATGAGCATCGATACAATTGAAGACAGCTTCAAAGCATCTAGACATCACTCCTCTCATCTCTTTAGGTTTTTGCTCTCCTTCCATAGTATGAGTCTTTCCAGTTCCTGTCTGACCGTAAGCAAAAATAGTTCCATTATAACCTTCAAGAACGTTACCTACAATAGCTCTGGATGATTCTTCAAACAGTTGTTCTTGACCAATAGCTTCATCAAAGACCTTATCGAAAGTAAATTGCTTTGGAGGCTCTTCATCTCCCTCTCTTCCAACCATGATTTCTCCTTTGTCTTCACGAGAATACATCTGGACTACCTTCTCGTTACCATTTTCACGCTCTTTCTTGCTCAGCGGCCTACAACGAATGACAACTTGGATGCACTCGGATTTGTTTTTAGACATTTATAATTTTACTTTTTCAATTTTTTTAAATTTGAAAGGGGTTTTGGGGTTTTGGGGTTTTGGGGTTTTGGGG